CCTAAATCGAAATAATATCCTGATTGCGCTATGTTCCACAGTTATCTCTTATGAGAGAAGTGTATTCTTTTTGAGCTTTTTTTTTTTTTTTTTTTTTTTTTTTTTTTTTTTGATAGATCAAGTTTTAAATTTTGTATCAATATAGACTTCGAATGCTTTCACGTATCACTAGCACACCTTCCTAAATGTGAAATAGTATAGCACTGAATGTATTAAAGCTAAAATAATATTACTTGTAACAGTCGTGAAAAATTAAATTTTCATATGACCTCGATCCTGGCTGAGTCCTTGGTATTCACGCTTGCTGAAACCACAGAAAACTTTGTAACTCATTGGAACATATACTTTAAATTAAAAAATATTAAACATAATTTAAAAATCATGGTTGTTATTAATTAAGACAGCCTCTAAGAATAATTGCTTGTATAATCCTATCTTAAAAAAATTTCTCTTATTTTTTGTATTTCGAATTTAAATTAACAAAAAAATGGCAAGACTTGAAAAACATGCTTAGAAGTGTACTAAGTTCTGATTTTATTAAAACCATTTGCAGTTTCTTGCAAATTTATTTTTGAAACAATTTTACACAGTTTATGTAAATATCCTATGGATAATATGTTGAAAAAGTTAAAGAAATATGTTGAAAAGTTGCAGACCTCAAATGTTAATGAACGTTTCTATGTTAAAGCGAGTTAGGTTAGAGTTATATAACGTTATTTGAATATGGCAGCGCACACGACGGCTCTCTGTCTAAGAGAAGGGATGTTTTCGGGAAGGACATTCTAAGAGAAACTAGCTCGTATTCACGTCATATTTGGTGAAATCACAGAAAACCAATGATGCGACCAGGCCATTCGCCTGCGCTTAAATCAGAGTTGAGCTACCAGCATTCAGCGGTCTTAACTACTCGGTTATTAGTGAGACGTAAGTTAAAGCGAGGTCGCTGGAGTATTTTACCCGCCGTAAAGGTTACGAAGCCGAAACTTGAAAGAAGGAAACTTTTGAAATATGACGGCGCCACTGTGCCTGGGATTCGGCATATCCTGTGATAACGTTTGTAAATCCGAGAAGTAAATCAAAATCCTATATGAAAAGCGGTTCTCCAGCATATAACACTGCCAGCACTTTATAGAGGATCCTAGCAGGCTCGGCTCCAGCGTTTTCTGAGCTTTAGGCGATCAGTACAGTTAGCGTCCAGCACAAAATAAACATATTAATATTTTAAAGTAAACAAAATAAACATATTAATATTTAATATACCATTTCTGAGCTGACGCTTTTGAGAACAATTTAGTTTGTCGTCCTAGGTGGCTGTCTGTATCTTCTATGCTTAGATTGGATCCTGGTTCCTAGTTCCAAGCTAAAAAACTGACTTTTAGGAAGGAGCCATTACGCTGAAGCACCGTTTGTGAAAGCTTCTGCTTAACATCATCCAATCTGTCCAAGTGTGCCGGCACTTTTTAATGAGGCATAGTTATGAAGGATCTCCCTGTGTGTAAAGCAAAAGTGCTCTGCTTTTAACAAAATTTCTGAAATGCAGGAAAACATGAATACAGTGTTTTCGTGTGTAATAATGTCATAAATAGTCAAATTACTGTGCAGACTTTAGTAATGCGTTTTTAATTACAATGACAAAATCTACAGAAATTCGTTAAATGCATGTGATTCACCCTCCCCAAAGTGCTCTTATAAATTGTGAGTACGATCTTATTACTTCTCAGTGACTGACAAGCACGAGCGCCATGATAACCTTAGTAGTAGTGCCCTCTGTTGCAAATTTCATGCTTTAATTCTGCACACGAAACTGTAAAAGAGTAAAAAACGGCGCTTTGGAAACTATTTTTACATTTTTCAGCTTAAATGATCAGAGATAGTTGGTCCACCCTAAATGTTCTGAAAGCTCATTACTTTGCATTAGAAATTCCAATAAGATTCAGATTTCAATAAGATGAAAATTTATTTTTTGTATTTTAATATGAACAATTTACTTCATTAATACTACTACACCGAATAAAAATGCAAAATAATCGTAACTTAAAAAATGTGGGCAAAATTTATTTTTCGAGATAATTTGATGCTGCTTTTCGTATATTAAAAAAAATATTTCATGCTTTCTCACATATATTAGTAGCAAACCACTATATGAGTTGAGTTCAGTGTGCGACGGGAAACCCTTTACTCACATTCCTGCTACGCTCTTATTGGTATAGTTTAATTATTGTAACTATTGATCCATTTATTTGATCCCTTAGATCAACCGTTCGCTATCTGTCTTACGATATTTTTGGGACAGATAATATCTTTGTCAGGGGTATGCAAGACAATTACAAATAATATCGGAAAATTAAGAAGCATTATAATAAATGTTGATGAAACAGCCAAATGTTTAGTTAGTGTCAGTTTGTCGTTGTACAGAAGGTAAAGCAACTGCGAGGATATTTTGATGTGACCATTACTGACAGAAATGCGTGAAAAGCAACGTAAGTATGAACACACCTGCTATATTGCCCGCCTACTTATGCACTGCATGCAGCCACTTCCTTTCTCACTTTGTCACTATATACCATTTAAAATTATATTTTCAGTATTAAATGAATCACCCTTTCAGTTAAATAATTATTTTCTTTAAGTGTGATATTCAAATAATTTTGAATGCGAAGTTACGTTTTAAATTAGCTAGTGTTCATACAAAGTTGTTAATTATTAAATTTTGTTTAAATAAAAAATGGATAAGTGATAAAGAAGTAGATCTTTACATGGAATTGAGACTATTGTAGACAATAACTTCAGTCTGGCATCTTCGCCAAACCCATTTTGAAGACATTTTTTTTATTCCACAAAATTGACTAATCCACATTATCTTTGGTCTCGAGGAGTGTGGATTAAGAGAATTCTACCGCAGTTTGATTTACATTCATCATTTTTAATATAGGCTGTTCTTCTGTCTGACGAAGTATTTTTCACTTTTCTACGGAGTGTTAGAGTTTTTTCCCCTTGATAGTCATAACTAAGAGTTCTAACAATTAATTTATTTTTCTTTTATTTAAAGTATTTGATATTGAATGTGGAATTGCACATTTGATAGATAAGTTTCTAAGAATCACGCCATTAATTTTTTGATAATACCTTGCTTTGTTTATTTGAAGTCGGATTCGTGTTATTTCTCCAGTATAGCCTACTATTTGTTTTCTCTAATTATTCTTAATTTCATAACTTCTTCCTGTTGCAGCTTCTGCCTGTCGATCTGATTCATAGGTGATACATTTGTGGTCAGATACTGAAATACCTTATAAAACTTTCCATGTTTTTATGTTCTTCTTCAGATATTACATAACTGACATTAATCTTCCCTTTATAGTTTCGTTAAAGTGTTGTAATCAAATCTTCAGGCGATTCTCTTAAATCATTTCACTGTAGCCCATATCTGATGGTGTGCATTAAAATTCTCCCACTATGAGGTGTCCTTGCAAAATTCTTTTAAAGTATTATCCGACTTATTAAAATTTTGATTAAGTAATGTACTGGATATGCATATAAGGACATCATTTAGTGAGTGATCTCTTGTAAATGGAAACTGAAGGTTTGTCTGTTAGTGAATATTATGAATTAATTCATTGTTTAATAAAGGTGAGAGTTGAGATATTCTTCCAATATGCAGCAATTTCCGAAGATTTGCAAATAAGTGCTGGTGGTTATTGTAATTTCAAGCAATTATTACATGTTTGTCAACCTAAATATTAGATTAAATTCTAGTTCATAACTTCAAGCAAAATATAAATTATTTGTTAAGTTTACGCAACTACAGGTTTGGGTTAACAAATATTTAGTAATATTTTTCTTTTCCCATCTGATCCTTATGCAGGTTAATTTGTGTCAGTTTTAACTCTGTTGATATGAAAATGTAGCTTAAATAGAGAGACAAAAGTCAGCAGCTAACTATTAAGCTTAAAATAAGAAGTATACTTTTAATCGGAGAATTGTTCAGATATCAAAGTATGAAAATACAGGTCAACTTATCTATCTTATCTCAAATAAAACCTTTATTCCTCTTCAACTGGAGCTCAACGTTGTTCTTTCGGATCAGTCTAAATCAGGACTTAAATAAATCAATCATTTAACTGCTATGAATTTTTTACAACAGCAGGCTGAGGGAAAATAAAATTTGAAACACGTTTTATGTATATGTTATATCTTAAAAAACTAAACAAATTACAAAATTTTAGTTCATTTAAATGTATTTATCTGAAAGAGAATGAAGCAGCGCTGTTCTTTAATGTTAATTTAAAATAGCCTACTCAAAGACAGTTCATGTTACTTTTTCTAGAGGGTTACTGCTGCCTATCCTGTAATAACTGCAAGCAACAGGTGAAAGCAGATTATGCATCAGGTTACCTATGTTAAAGAAAGACAGGCTAAGTAGCACACTAAGCTTTTTCAGAAATTTGGATTTCACAAAATAATAGTTGCTTAAGAAAACTCGCATATTATATGACAAAAATCACTTTGACTTTTTTTCCAGCGCGGTTCGACATAAACCCATTCTTGAAACTTTTATTTTGACTCTTTTTACCACATTACATTTTGTACAGAAAGCGTTCAATTCAAAAAAGGAAAATAATGAAGGTATAATTTAAATACTCGAAAGAGTTTCATTAACAACTGCTGAAGGCAGTGAATTTATAAGGTTACCGTAAATGAAGATGGAGGCAAATAGATAACTAAAATCTCAGAAAGTGGAGAACAACCTAGGTGTAATATTATTCTATACTAAAATCAACTAAGAAGCATTTTTGCCAGAAATATGTTCTCGATATTACTTTACTTTCCATTTCAGCATTCGAAAATTATCTTTCTTAATATGCACGAAGGTATTCATGATGTACATTACTTGTAACATGTCATTATTTTATTTAAAAAAAACAAATCATACATTCTCCTTCATTCATTTGTAGACATGCATTCGGAACAGAACAGTCAGTCATGAAGCGTTTTAGCTACCGACCACACCGCCTTATCTTATTCAAGATAATTGAAAGAATGAACTTTGAAACATTTTGTGCTCCCTCGCCCAAGATATCCAAAACTTAGATTTCTGATTATTGACTTAATGTGAGTTTTCTGAAGCTTTCGATCCTTGCATGCTAACTTGACTGATAAGAACAAAATCTAAGGCGTGGTACCGCAAGGAAGTACTAAATAATACAGACCAAGCCTGGTAAGTACACTCGATCTATATATGTGAAGTAATATTTTAGACAGAATAGTTCTTTATATCGTGACATGTCGGGAAATTATAAGATTTAAACTGAGACTTAAATTGTTAATGGTAAAGAGATAATTGCATGATCTGATGCATATCTGAACCACAAATATAGTTATGCCATTGAAATCGATTGATATATTTTAAAATCTTTTTCTTTCTCATTCAGAACTGTCACTTACGATTTTCAGAGTTATCTTTCTCCTATACATATAGCTGTTTAAGACAAAAAGGTCCAGCAATTGTATTCGTAGTTCTGATTTTAATTCTTTCTGATTTCGGCAAATTAAAGCTAACAGAAATTAATTTTAATTTACATAAAATTGTGTTTTTACACGGTGATTAACGATCTAAAAAGTGGGCGTTAAAGATTTATTTTATTGTGAACATTATAGACGGTTTTAATTATAGCTTTGGGCACGTCTGAAGGAACTATATGAACTTGCAGAGGTTATCTGGCAACTTAATGCAAGTCAGCCACCGGAAATTAAATGGTGCACCTTATTTTATGCACCAATTATTTCAATGAAAACGAGTTAATTTATGTACTGAAGTTTTGTCGCTGATACGAATATGAATTACAAAAATATGAAATGCATAACTCTAATTCTGTTTAGTTTACGAGACTTCATATTAGCTTGCTCGGTTACATACATAAATTTGTTTACAGCTGCAGTTTTTTTTTTTTTTTTTTTTTTTTTTTCATAAATTTTCAAAAACTACTTGCCCTCCCAAAGATATAGTTTTGATTTTCAAACAAAATGAATGAAGGAAACTGGTACCAGTCGTTAATAAAAAAATAAGCTGTTGTTTATGAACTTGCGAGTATAGTTAATATATTGTTGCATCACATATATAATGTATGCAGATTGCAGGTATAGTATAAGAAGGGTTAATTTCCAGAGCACTGTTATGGTTGGTAATTAGAAAGTTTAATTTTTTTGTTATATTTAAAACAATTCTTCGGATCAGTATTATTGATTAACTAAGTTTTTATTACTGAATTTACTAACAATTCAACTAATAGTCTGTTGGTAAAATAGTGTTTTGACATTTTTGTTGGCTCAGTTTTTTTTTTTTTTTTTTTTTTTTTTTTTTTTTTTTTTCTTGTTTTAATTTTGAAGTACTTAAGATTTTTGTAGATGTTGCAATTATTTGGAAGTTCTTTTTGTGTATAAAATTGGTATTCAGGTCAAAAGTATAAAGCATTTTTAGTTTAAGAATAATGAATGTTTCTTGATTAAGTCTCTCTTTTGTGTTTATAATTATTTCTAAAATTTCAGTTTTAATATCACTAAAGGTAGGTTGTTTAAAGTGTTCTAGTTTTGCTGAATTAATGCAGGTTACAGCGATGAACTTGGTTTTGAACTTAATTTATCCTTTGTTTATATTAATATATATATATATATATATATAAAATTAAAATTACTAAACAGGCCAACGAAAAACAAATAAGAAAATATTATAGAATTAAATCAGCGAATTAATGGTACTGCAAATCAAAATAATTTTTTTTTACATTTTATAAAATTAAATCCAAAAATGTTTAAATTTGTAATACCATTAATTCACTTAATTTATTATATATTATTCTCTCATCTGTTTTTCTTTTGTTTGTACAGTTTTAGTTTTAACTTAATAGATAGTTACAAATTATATCCTAGCAGCATTATGCACAGGGATTGTTTTTTAAGACCTTATTACATATATTTTTCGCAGTTCAAATACAATACAAGTTCCCAGTTCAAATACAATACAAATACAATACGTACAGTGTGTTTCAGTAAATCGGTTACAGACTTTTAGGAGAGATATAGGACACCTAGACGACGGAAAATGACATGGTCGGAAACGCTTTCCTGGAGCAATAGTGACAACACAATACACAAAAAAGGTAAGACACGAACAGACACATAAAAAAAATTCTAACAATTTTGCTTTATGTCACAAGATTTTTCATTCGTTCTTAGGACCAACAAATTGTCCGAGATTAAAACCATTTTATTGTCGATTATTGTCGATTTAATTCGTGGTGGCGAAATACGACGCTGCGAAAATGTTTTCATCGTATTCCTTACTTCAGTATAAATCTGGGACGATTTCCTTTATAAAGTCATTTAGAAGAGCACTAATCTATTCGTAGACTTCTGTAGCGGTTTTATTTATCAATCCGTTTATCCCGATCCCTTGAAAACGCTGCACAATGTTCAGTGAATCGTGTGTGGCACTGAGCGATTACTCGAGTGATAATTAACTGCCTTATAGAATAACAAAGTGGGATTTTTTTTTATGCAGTAGACGTGAAAAATGTTCAAAGCCCTCTTCAGGACTCGAATCCTGGACCTCTCGAATATGAGTCCAGGAGGGAGAAAATATAACCTAATACGTGAATGAAGTATGTTAGGGTTGGAATGAAATAAGTTTCAAAGCATTATTTGCAAATTTTTCCCTGCATTATATGTTTTCATTTCGAAGCTAAATTCGCTGGAGGCGTTTGTCTGGTTCTCTCAGAGTAATAACAGTAAATTTTGTCATGCCATCAGTGATAGTAACATCAACAGTAATAGAAGTTCGAATCCCGCGAACGGGCTGGCTGCATGGGTGTTTTCGTGGGTTTCCCCATGTGTAATGTGTATACGAACCAGTTTCCCTTAGAAAGTCCTCCACGAAGGCATCCCTTCCCTTAGGCAGATAGCCCTTGAGGCTTTGCCGTAATTAAAATAACCTAACCTAACCTCAACAGTAATATAATACTAAACAAGCAATGTATGAAAGTGGACCACTAAAAGATCTTGCTAACCATTGTTCCTACTTAATTAACACATACTTTTGGCACAGCTTGTGTTAGATACCTAGTCTCAAACATTATTCTGTGTCTTCAAAAGTTCAATTTAACCCGCTGGGAAATTTTGTTATCGCTTGATGATAATATTTTGATTGTGTTTGGGTAGATCTGAAATCATAGAAAGTGAGTTACAATGCAGTAAGATGGGTATCATGTAGTTCGATGAAGCTTTGCATGAACTGGAGTCTAAGCAAAATTTGACTAAACATTTGTTACGGTCTAAATTACATTAACTCCTATTATTATCCATCTTTATATCTATTTGTATATAACCGGGGGGGAATGGATTTCTTTTCTTTAAGGGTGTTATTCTGTAAAAGTAAAGAAAAAGTTCTTTTTTCGGGTTTTTTCTATAGAGTTTTTCTTAATTTTCTTTCTTGAAATTTTGAAACAGTTGCATAATTATTCTCTATATCTAACTTAAGTAATTAATATTACTTTCTTCTGTAGCATATAATGGCAGTTTTACAGAAAATTATGCATATCAAGCTTTAATCGCATCTAATAAATATAAAAGTTACCTCAAAGTAATTTACGATTATGGATATTACTTTAATATTTTTACAAACTGAAGGGATTTTTATCGCTTTCTCGTCCGTAGTTTTTTGAAGCGCCAAGTAACAGCATTTATGGAGGATCCGACAAGAAAACCAGATCTAAAAGACAAAAATGCTTTTGAAGAACCTGAAGATAAACATGATGATGAATATGAGGTAACTACTGACAAAGAAAAACGAGAGAAAGATGATGAAGAAAAAGAAGACATTGACGAAAAGAAAGACACAGAGAAACCGTTGATAGATGACGACTCAGTAAAAATAGATATAAAATCTGGTGATGAAGGGACAGACACAGCTACCCTTCCAATATCAGATAAGAAATCAAGAGATGATAATAATGCAAAGAAAGGTAAGTGTAATAAAATGTTTTAAGTACGTAAGTATATCTCTTGCTTAAAAAACGTATTATCTTTCGATTAAAGTTGTAAGCAATTTGTTTTACGTTTCAGAGCCTATCAATTCATTTCATATCATACAACAGAACAGCTAAATATGCTCGAATTTAGACAGAGATAATATTAATTTGTACATAACATTTCCACAGACAATAGGCGTTTGTATGTAGATTATAGCTCAAAGCATTTAGTATTAAGATACAGAATATAAATTTCACTTATGAAATTTTACTTTTCATAGAATTTAATACTGACAGAAGTAACTACTGAAAATACATTACTGCACAGATATCAGAGGCAATAATAATTACTCTATTGACGTTTAAAGTCTGCGCTTGTTTTCACTTTATTTATAAACTCTGATGGTGACACACACACACACAGTTACTTCAAATTTCGGACAAAAAGAAATCAATGATGACCACAGTAAAAGAAAGGTGTAATAACAACGTTTGAAATATATGTGCATATAATATAGAGAGAGGGCTCTTGCATAAAAGCGTATTAATACATAATATAAACGTGTTGTATTATTAATAAATGTATTATATAACCAAAAGGTTGCAGAGTCATCGGGTATTTTGGATACAAGAGACGTGAAAAATGTGCAATACCTTCGCCTAAACTCGAACCTGGACCTCTCGAATGCTGCGAGTGTGCTATCGTTACACCACGAAGGCATGGAGAAAGGAGGAAGAAGATATCTTATATACTCCCCCTTTTAAAGGGCGACTGGGAATTAGTGGACCCACTCGCCAAATCCTGGTGGTGAAGATTCATCATCCACCACCTTTTTTAGTCCGGGTGCCACTGTAGAGTCATTGGGTATTTTTGATACGGAAGACGTGAAAAATGTGCAATACTCTCGCCGGGACTCGAACCTAGACCTCTCGAATGCGCCAAGTGTGCTACTGTTACACCACGAAGGCATGCAGAAAGGAGGGAGAAAATACCTTTCGTTGTAAATGCATTTATTAATATTAATATAACGATAATACGTATTATTCATATTAATATAATAAATGTGCTATATGTATAATAAACTCCGATTGCTCCCAGCATGTTTGCCGCTTCTTCTCGTTAACAAGTAACAGACATCTGCTGAGTTTGCATATTCAAACAAGAGTTGTAAAGCATTCTATTAACACTAGAGTAACTGATATCTAATGCAAACATAGTAAGAATTTCAAACATATAGATAACAGTGTTAAACAGCTATGATTACAAGAGTGGTCAAACATTCCTTGACATATTTGAAAAATTAATCGGGAAAATAGTACAAGTAATAGAAACGCAAAGATTATAGGTATTATATATTGCAGTATTTATATTATTAAAACCATACCATTGTAAAATCTTGAAGAACTTCCTCAGTCGGTCTCATCAGCGGCCAAGCGCTTAGAACACTGGTAGTTCATTTCCGGGTCCGAATCCCGGCGAACGGGCTAGCTGCGAGACCGTTTTGTATTTTTTAACATGTGTAACGTGAATGCGAGTCAGATTTCTTTAGAAAGACCTCCACGGAGGCATCCCTCTATAAGCAGATCGCCCTCGAGTGCGTTGCCATAGTTAAATAAACCAAAAGAAACTATTCCTCCGTCATGTTCATGCGAAGCAAGGGTTGGTGTATATCAGTCTGGCAAATCGAAGGAGCTCATATTCAAGGCGGGGAAAGCAGAGTGAATTTTGCACTTCTAAACTCCTTATGCCCGAATAAAACCAAATGGAAGATGATATGCTACCGTACAAGAAATCAAAGCTACGGGTCTTTGTAGAAAGAGAAATGAAAAAAATATTAAAGGCATTCCTCTCAAGTGATTTTAGTAATATGGCTAATACACTAATAGGATGAGATCAACTGAAAATCCCTTTTTCGAAGAGGGATGAGAATGCAACTAATTTTTAAGATTTGTCACTTCTAAGCTCATTCTATTCTCTTCATCCTTACCGAACCTTAATGAGTGAATCTTGTATTACTTAATGTATATCAAAAGACGCTCACTTTCAACTGAAATAAGCATCAACTTACCTATATATATCTTCAGTTAGCTGAATTATTTGTATTCTGAGTTCTGCAATGTTTGTCACCTTCGAAATGTGCACTTTGTTACTGGCATGCCTGAGCAAGAAATCAAATAGTTTATTGGAGAAAAACATGAAACTTGATCATCTCGCCATGTCTGGTTGGTGAGAAATTCCTTGCCCAGATAACCGAGAACAATTTGATTCCAATGAAAAAGGTTGCCCATACTGCTACCAAAAGTTATTGACGCGTTAATCGATACAGTAGGTAGCGATGCTGTCTGCTGGATTGTTAGGCCTGGGTTGGAATCCCGGAGAAGCTACGGATGTTTTTAAGTGTATAGTGTCTGTGTGGCAGGAGGGCACTTAAAACACTTTGAACAACAAACTCTTATAACCGCTCCTGCTACTGAAAGAAACTGCGGTGTTTTGTAACGATTGCTGCCAGTAAATAGGTTTTACTCCACGCTTCTAGACACTCCGTTATCTAACTCCGGATTAGACAGGAGGAGACAAAGGCTAACTACCAAAGTGGACAAAAGCCAATAGACTAAAACAAAGCAGAGCACGGCAGATGAGCAAAGGGGCAGCAAAGCGTGGAGTGTCTAGAAGCTACGGATGTTTTTAAGTGTATAGTGTCTGTGTGGCAGGAGGGCACTTAAAACACTTTGAACAACAAACTCTTATAACCGCTCCTGCTACTGAAAGAAACTGCGGTGTTTTGTAACGATTGCTGCCAGTAAATAGGTTTGACTCCACGCTTCTAGACACTCCGTTATCTAACTCCGGATTAGACAGGAGGAGACAAGGGCTAACTACCAAAGTGGACAAAAGCCAATAGACTAAAATAAAGCAGAGCACGGCAGATGAGCAAAGGGGCCTCAAAGAAAAGTCAAACGGCTAAAAGAGGAGGGGGTGCCTTTCGGCTATAAAGGGAAGAAGCAAAAAGCTAGAAACTGGTCTAAGAAGGGGAGAGCCATCACGGTTAAAGAAAAAATGGGGGAACAGGCGAAATAAAGCAAAGCCTATCGACTAAAAGGGGCTGAGAGGGAAGGCTAAATGGCGAAAGGGAAAGAGAAGTTCCCAATGGGACGGAACTGCATAATACCTGTACGGCTATACTTGTATGACCTATGGTGAAATTCTGATTTTCCGCCCACTTCTATCTGTTCCTTCCAAAAGAATATTGAAAGCAAAGAGAAGTTTGAGAGACAAAAAAAATTTTATCTCTTTAAAGTTCATTTCTTTGTGACGTAAGCTCTGCTAAAATAGTAGAAAGACCCAATAAAAATATATTTAAATTTGATTGTAATAATCTCTATAAACATATCGTTTCTATTGATTGTAAGTTTTCGTCATTAAGCCTTAAATCTTCCAAGCATTTTCAAAACATCCTGTATATTTATTAATCAGTCTATTAGTGTATGCCTCTGGTGCAGTTTAATTCTTACATGCATGATATACACTCAAATAAACTAACACCTAGCATTTTTTACTCTTTCGATCATAAAGTATGCATCAAATGTAACTTAATTTTGAATTTCACATGAAAATTCTGTATGTATAAATTTGCACTTGAATGAAAGTAACACTATGTTAATAAAACAGCTTTCTAATTTTAGAGAAACCACCAATGTATCTCTTTCCTATTACTCAAATGAAGCTTGCATGGACAAGATCGTCAAATATACTGGAATTCCTCCTTAGAGCTACATGCATTGTTTTTTCCACATGTAAGTGTTACGATTTTAAGTGAGTATCAATTCATAGTATGTAATATAATATGATTTATTTCTGTAAGTTTTTAAATTCCTAAAATAAAATTAATACCGAGAAAAATCTTTAAAAAGTAAAAGTGCTTTATTTAAGGTATAATGTTCATATTAATAATATAACATTAGATCATTCGTGCTAGTGTACTTTGGGGAAATTTTCGGATATGAGGCGTTATCGTTCCAAAATAGAAATAATTCTTGTTAAGTAGGAATTTCTCGAGAAAAAAAGAAAGTCTTAGCCAAAAAAATCTTTATTTAAACTTAAGTAAAAATATAATTGCTTATTTGATGTGCTTACTCTTCGATAACAGATAGAAAGGTAAATTTATATGTTATATGGCCGAGAGTTTAAAGTGATCAACTCTGAGAGTTAAGGCTCTTCTTCGACATGGACAATCTTAAGAAGACTTTGTTCAAAAAACTCTTTGTTAAATTCGGAATTCGTTTCAACAGACATAAATATTCATAAAATGAATATAATATATGAATAATAAATAATACATAAATATGTATAATATATGTAATATAATAATATATATTACATAATAATACATAAATATGTATAATATATAAGCGGACATTCATACATAAAGCCCGCATTTTAAAATAAATGCTGGCTTTATGTAAGACTTATTGATAAAAATAAAGCAAAAAGCGTATTATTCAATTTTTTTTTGGGGGGGGGAGGTTAAAAACAGTTACCGGACGATAATTTTATTTGCATATACATTCTAAGGGCTCTTCTCTGAAGAAATAGTTTAGGGAGGGTTTTAAATTAGCACGTTCTATTATACACTTAATTAGAGTAATGGTAAAAAAAATGCAGTTCTCTTATTTTCTGAATGGTGTTTCTGGAAGCTGCATTTGATGCAATATAAAATTCCTCCAGAAAAATTATTTTAGCAATAGCTTTATGGAAGAAGTTCATTAATATGCCTTATTAAGCAGTTTTAAAATATTTATTTAATTTTAGAAGCACTCAATATACTGAATCTTCTGTTGCATTTCCATTAGGTATTTTAAACTGCTCTTTGAATTATATAATGGAAATTATTATTATTCTTTACGCACTGAATATGGTTTGGATCCAGATAACTGCATTTCCAGTTAAAATTAAAAACATTAAACCATTTAGAAATTTTTCCCATTTAAATGCCTTTTCACAGCGGATTTCAGCAAAATATTAGTTGAAAACCATCCAGTCATATAGAACGAAGTAGAAGTAAATAACTTAGTGGCAGAGGAAAGGCTCTTGGAATTGATTCCAACATACAAAGGAAAGCTAAAACGTTATTACCACTCAGTCGATCTGCGAAAGAAAGTAAAATTTGACAAATGATTGAGTGCGTCTCACCCTCTTTAGCAGCTTAGTGAAAAAAATCAGTTGATCAAGCAAATTAAAAAATTATAAAAAACTTTGATTACGGACAAATACACTGCCCTCCAAAAGTTAAGGAACAGCATGTTTTCAATGCTCACCTTTACAAAAATTCACACTTCATATCATATGCATGACAGTAATGAAGTTTAAGAAAATACATGAAAAAAAAAAAAAAACAGCTACCACTTTTATTTTATACATATGAACACTTATATAGGAGTTGGAGAGGAAATACAAAAATTGTAATTTTTGTTCACGAATGTTGACCTTCGGTTGTTATTACAGTTTCGTGGACAATATCCAGGAGAGTCTATGAATGTCCAGGAGAAGTCGTTTGCCCGATTCATTTAGGTAGTAGGTGATTGGATGGATGGAAATGGGGATGTCACAAGCTGATGCTGCTAGACGTCTGAATGACTCTCGTAGTGTGGTCCACCGATTATGGAATCAGTTTGAATACGAGGATTCTGTGTCTAAAAGACATGTTCCAGGCAGACCTAGAGTACCAGAAACAAGAATCTCAGCTACTAGAGTGCGCAGACGCCTGCACAACACAAATCTGTATGCAAGACGACCAGTTGTTTGTATCCCCTTGAGCCGAGAACATAGAGGTGCCCGTTTTTGTTGCGCAGGAAAACACGTCTCCTGGACAAGTCAACAATGGGCGACTGCTCTCTTCATAGACAAGTCCTGGTTTACATTGGAGAGTGATTCAGGTCATCAGCTGATCTGGAAGCAACAAAGCACCAGATACAACCAATCCAACATTGTGGAAAGATACAGTTACAGAGGTGGTGGAATAATGGCTTGGGCTGGGATCTCTCTCGGTGATCACACCGCATGTGTTCCATAGAGGAACTCTGACTTGTGTGAGATATCAAGACGAGATCCATGATCAATATGTCCGTCCATATGCCGCTGCTATTGGTCCTGGATCTCTTTGGATGGACGAAAATGCGCGACCGCACCGAGCTCGGGTTGCTGAAGAACATCTTGAGGGTCTCGGTATGGAGCGAACAGAATGGCCAGCTCAATCTCCAGACCTGAATCCGATAGAACATCTTTGGGACTACCTTGGGAAACAAATTGTTGCTTTAAGTCCTTCTCCAAGGTCATTAGATGAGCTTGAACAAGGACTACTCCGTGTCTGTTCGATGTTTCCCATTTCACTGAGAGAAAACTTAATTGGCAGTATAGATTACAGCTAGGGATGGACACATTCTTTATTAGAACGCATTTTTGCAAAGTTACCACCCTATTTTTCCTCAAAAAACTGTGATATACCTTTTCTCCAAGACTGGATTTCTTTGTGAAGAGTGCAATTTTTTTTGTTGTAATTCGTGTTTGTGTTAAACTTCAGAAACATTTTAGTCCTATTCATTAAAAAAACTGCTTAGTGAATATGTCCTGTAAATTTCATGTGTCTATGTGGCTTCATTCTCAAATTAAGCACAAAAAACATGCCGTTCCTTAATTTTGGAATGCAGTGTACTTTAAATGTTAACTTACCATTAAAACTGTTAAAAATGTATAAAATATAAAAAAAATATCTAAAAATTTTACTTATTTAGATTCTACTTCAACATCTTGACAGTTTTTAGACGAATAGTCATGACGCGCATACTAGTTTTAAGAATTAATCTCCAGAAATTCAAGCTACAGAGCATAAAATTATGTATTTAAAACGAGTTCCCATCAAACTGCTGGGGGGGGAGCTTTATTAGGATATAGTAGATCATCATAAATTAATGCAAGTTTTACAGAAACCAAAAGTCTCTGCGACATCAGAGTGCCGGGGGAACTATTTAGATGACTATCTAACTCAGAAATATAAAGAAGAAAATTTGGGGGCAATAAGTAAATATGTTGGTGAAGAGAGATGCTGCGTTTAAAGGATAACTAATGATACTAATAGGTTGTCAATTATGTTAAAATAATAAGTCTAATAATAATGGTAAAAATAAAAATTATGATGTTGATAAGTATTAGAAACAATAGTTAATAACAAATTTAAGTATATATATCCTTAGCATAATCATATACTAAGGAGAGTGCAGCTAAGTATGTATTTTCATTTTGTTATCATATTTTGAGACATTATGCATCATATGTCTGTAATATGCGTTTTTGTAATATTTGAATTATGGTAATGATTGGGTGGGAAGACATTTGATAATTATATTCGTTCTGTCAAATTTATGATGTCACTTCTTCATCTGCTTTCACACAAAATGAAATACACATAAACTGAAATATTGGTTTGATTGAAATATTTTTCTCGTAATTAATTGTATGTTTTGATTCGTTTCTGAGTATTCTTCGTGTAGAATAAACAAGTTTGGTCTATGTTTTCATTTTACTTGAATAAATTTATAGAATTCATTCATTCTTCTTTCATTTTAAATTTAGAATGGATATATGTTTAATAAGAATCCTTATTTGTCAGTTTCTTGACTGTAGGTTTTTGTCTTATATTTATATAGTGGGATGGCTCCTTTGCGTGGGAGGCTTTCCTTTCGTATCTGTTGCAATGCTTGTAATAGGTAAGTCACTGTAGTTTTTTAATAGAAAATAAAACACGTCGTTACATTTTAGAGTACTCTTTGAAAGAACAAGAATTTTGAAAACCTTAGGTCACAAAAATCAGATATATTTTGAAAATTATTAGACTACCAAGTCCAGTTCTTTGAGAAATATTAGATAATTAAATCTTAGCCACGTTTGGGCAAATTTTAGATAATAAAACCTGAGAAGTTTAAAAAATAGTTTATTTTATTAAAACATAATTTGTGTTATTATATTAACTAATTATGTTTCAAAAAATTCTAGAATTCATTCTTTTTTGAGTCTGAAAGAGAAAAATTTAATGTTTTCGTAGAGACACTTCAGTATTAAGCTGAAAATAATACTAGTCCAATAACACTAGAATTGAGGGTTGAAAAGTACTCAAATTTAGAGAAATTACTCGGTAATTAGATATCATCATTTAAATCTTACTTTAGAAAGATGTCCGTAAGATTTAAAAATTCTAGTAATTGTAAACAATCACTAGAGTTTGGATAATAGAGAGCTTTTATTCGTTTAGTAAACGTTATGGTTTACTATAAAGCCGAGAAATATATACTCAAACTTCAAATTTATCATTCTCTTTTGAAGAAATACATATCGCTTGAATGTTCAAGTAATAAAATGTTAAAATATTTTTTAAATTTTAATAACAATATCTGAAATTTTATTTTTAGTATTGTGGCCAAAAGTAATGAAGTTATTTTAATCCGACAGGCAGTGTATACGTAGATGATTGCAAAGCAGAACCGAATATTCCTGTTTACCTGATTGTAGCAGGAGTATTGGGAACCTTACAGCATTTCATGTCCGTCTGGACTAAGTATTTACCCAAGGACTCCCAAGGTCGTATGCAGGAATATAGGAGCTACTGTAGAGCTGTGGATAGTGTATTACACATTTTCTTAGCAATATGGTTCATTTGTGGTATGTAAAATTATCTTTATACCATGAATAAGTTTTGAATGGAATTATATTTTTTAACTCTTTCGCATTGACAGAGGCCAAAATCTGTTCCTCTCAAACATTTGAAACACCCGTGTATATGAATTTTTCTTGGAAAGGCTTTCCTTCCTCCTACCTCTGCCAAACAGATTGCTATAGCGTTAATAATAACCTAAGTGAAGCTCACCGTGTTTCACTCACTGTGTACAGTGTCCCTTAAAACGGGATTGCAAGTGCCACTAACAGGAGCTAAACGTTGACGCTAAACAAAGGAGAGGGAAGGAGCATTCAAAAAGGACATCTACTTTGGTCGCTTCCAAAGAATGATTGGCATGCCATTTAAAAACTATCGAAAACAATGAGCCATGCACTAATGTAATGGGGAAAACACCAAGCAGAAAATGGGTGCAGATGGTTTTCGGGCGACCTGCTGATGTCTGAATGCACTGGAAATACGTACAACTTCGCTGTTAAAGGGTTAAATCAACCATGAAACAAATAAAACTTTGTTTTATCGAAAATTATAAGAAACTCTTTGTTCATTGAAAGTATATAAATCCAAAGAATATATTTTATTTTTATTCATTATGACAAAGTAATAAAATAGAAAAGTTAAAATAATTTTCTGAATTATTGAATGCTAAATTATTTTGGACTCGGATGAAAGGAAAAGGTTCTGACATTTGATGACCGGATTAATTTTTAATCAATTAATCTTATTAATGAAATATGATCTTTAGGACACTTTATTATCTTTTTGAAGCAGTAATCTAGGTATATCAGAGGTGCGTAGTTTGCTGAAGTGATTAATTTGTTGAAGGGATTGGCATTTTACGTAAAGTTCACCAATTTTAATATATTCAAGCTCACTATGCTAAAAGCGGAAATTCTTACTGATATATCTTTATCCGAACACCCTATAAATATGTAATAAAAAGAGTAAATTGTAAGAAAGGCTTTGAAAACTACAGTCCTGCACATTTGCCGCTAAAATTGACAAAAAGTAATTAAGCAAATTAAATTACAAGAAAATGGGCAATTTCGTAGATTTTTAAATTGTAAGGAAGAATAAAAATTTGTTACAAATAACAATAAAAATAGATTGTACATTTAGTATAGGTATTAGAACAACTGTCAGTAGCTTTTGGCTGAGACTGACATTTGGAAGGAAATTTTACTTTAAAATCTAAAATAGATCAAAATAAATTAAATATATGAAAAACATATAGCTGTTTACATATAGTTAAATAGTATAGCTGTTTTATTACTATCAGATTTTTAACGTCTTCAGAAAGCCGAAAAATTTGCCATTGATACCACAACTATATCTGTCTCTGTCAGTTTCTATTCATCCCAAATTAACAGACGTAACCTAATTTTTATTTTTTGCACCACTGAAAATTTATGGACTCTACACCTGCACATCTGGTTTGCCAGATTTAATGTAAATGCAAAACTCAAATCAGTATTCAAATTGAAATTCAATTATTATACTTTATAGTGGCTTATTTATTTATAATCTATTTTTAAACGATGTAAAAGTCCTTTAAGAACAGGGAAGTGTAATGCTTATTTCATTAATGTTAGATTAATGAAAAAATGTGTGTCAACCATAAATGAAAAGGAAAGAATTGAATTCGGCCACGGATGCAAAACTTTGCTTCTTTATGCATTTGTCTACTCTATCAAACTTACAACTTATTACAATGAGTCATCAGTCTATCTATTCAATAAACCAGCCCCTCATCTATTACACTTACACACATATATTATCGATTATATATCTTATATATATATATATATTAATATCGATACTATATTTATCTCATATATTTGTACACACAGGAAGGACATCGTATATATATATTTTATATAATTATGTGGTGCGAGCTGCAATAACCAGTGGCAATATATGAAAATTATAGCGACAGTTTAAATTTAAAAACTATTCAACTTGGAATAAAGATTTGGAAATAATGAAATAAATTACCTTGCAAAACAACAAAATCTTGAAACTCAAAATAGCAAATGCAAAAATTAAAAATTAAATCCAGTAGAAGAAAAATTTATATCTCCCGGTACATCTTCTTCAGGGGGGTCGATGTATCAAGGTAAGTAAATAGAACAGCTTGTTTTTGAACTGATAATGACACAAATGATACAAAATTTTAACATTAGTTAAATCCAAAAAAAATTTGGGTCTTCATCAGTCCAAACCTTACATAATGAAATGCAAAAGGCATCAAGGCATCTTGCCTAAATTCATACAAATCATGATCCGTTACTACCCAAAATTGT